TGGGAATGGGTGGAAATCACAAGGAAATGAGAAGTTATTGCCCACATAAACAAGATTTGCAACCATTTAGCTCAGGAGCACATCCTGCTTCAGGCTGAGGGCTTGATCTTTGAGCCTCACTGATGTCAGAGATGTGGTCTTTTGCTATCCTGTGGAAACCCAAATAAAATGGATGAACACAGAAGCGTTTCAAAAACCAGTTCACACATGTCTTTCACAAGTCTGTTTAGATGCTCAAATGATCCAGAGACAATCTACATCTTTCACCCTCATCAGAAGGCACAGGCCTCCTTCCCACAAAGTGACAGAGCCGATGCCTGTGATGGAACATGATACCCATTCAATTCCTTCCGCTAGTGCCGGGCTGGGAAGAAATGTCATCCAGTATTTCCGCAGCACGTACTGTTAGGAAAACAAGGAAGTAGGGAGAAAAAAATTGGAAGTTGGAAGAGACCTAAAATGATCATCAAGTTCAACTGCTCAACCACTTTAGGGCTGGCCAAAAGTTAAAGCATGTTATTAAGGGTGTTGTCCAAATGCCTCTGAAACACTGATGGGCATAGGGCATTGGTCACACCTCTAGGAAGCCTGATCCAGATTTTGGCATCCTCTACGTTAAGCAACGTTTCCTCATGTCTATTCTAAACCTCCCCTGGTGGGGGTCTGAACCATTCCCACATGTCCTATCAATGCATCCCAGTGAGATCAGCACCTCCCTCTCCATTTCGCCTCCTTGGGAAGAGCTGTAGAGAGCAATGAGGTCACCCCTCAGCCTCCTTTTCTCCAAACTAGAGGAACCCAGCCTCCTCAGCCGCTCCTCACAGGACATGCCTTCCAGCCCTGTCACCAGCTTTGTTGCTGTCCTCTGAATGCGTTCAAGGACCTTCATGTTCTTAAAAGGTGGGCCTAGAACTGCACCCAGTACTCAAGGCGAGCGTGCACCAGTGCTGGTTGCAGCAGGACAATCACCTCTTCCTCCTTTTCCTGTTGTTTTGGTTTCTGTGTTTTGGTGGTGTGTTTTTTTCTTTTGTTACTAGCTTCCAGCTCACGGCATTACTGCCCTCCTCCTTTTCTGCATGCGCTGTGGTGGTCGCTTGTAGCCCCTGCACAGTTTGGGCCTGGCGCAAGCATTCCTGCTTGCTCTCCGCTTCCCTGACATCTGGCAGTCTTGTTAACAGCGTCCCGCAGCTCAGCCCCTGCTGCAGGAGGACCTCCACCAGGGAGCACCGAGCGCAGCCCTGCCCACTGTGCCCCCTCGCCCCACGGGACCAGCTCAGGCACTCTCTGCACCCCGAGCTCTGCACTGCAGCCTCCCCTTTCATCGGCTCTGTCTGGGGCCGACGCTGGCACCGCCACAGCAGCCACGGCAGAGCTCCCGGCCCCGGCCCCGGCCCCGGCCCCGGGCCTGAGGCGAGCGCTCCCCGTCCCGCTCGCGCTGCCGGCGCCAACCTCCACACCAGGCGCCGTTCCCGCGCTCCCTGGGGCGGGCTTTCCCCGCTCAGGCCGGGCCCGTCCCTCCTGGCTCCGCCCCCTGTGAGTCCCTGCCCGCCTCAGCGGAGCTGCCGGCTCCTGGGCAAGGCCTCGGTGCCTCTCGCCGCTCGGAGCCGGGTCTCCTGGACGCGGGGTTTCCTCTCGCTCTGGGGTTCGAGGCTCCTCTCCGGAGCTGCGCACCTCGTCAAATGACAGTTCTACCTTCTAATTAGTCCTGGAAGTCATTAACTGCAGCCTGGAGCTAGCAAGGACTCTGACTGCATCAATCAATAAATGTGAGGGTTTGGGATACGCGGTTTTCATTTGTTGTGTTGGAAGAAACTCCTTGTTTTCCCTGTGCGTTGTACGTGGGTGTCTCGATGCAGCTGTTGGTCTCTTAACTGATACACCAATATACCATTAGCACTGGTATGGCTGTCCCCTCAGGAGGAGCTGTGCTGCTTTTCCAGGTTGGTTTCCAACTAATAATTTAAACCAGGACACAAACGCCTGGAGGAGGATACTGTTTTGCTGTCTTTTCCCCTCTTCATTTTAAAAATAGTAAATGCTAAATTATTTTACCTCTTTTAAAATGCAGCCAGAAAACAGATGAATCTAGGCTAGCTGGTTAGTTTTGCCTACTTAATTCAATTTTATTACAGTATAGTTCTCTTTCTCACTTCTTTCTTGTACTCCCTGCCTTTCTAGTTTCTCTTGTGCCTGTTCCAAGAGCATCCCTTAATTTCTCTTTTGGGGCAGTCTTAGTGCTGGCTTTCTGTTCCAGCTTCTACACAGCCGGTGCTTCAAGAAAAAAGTGCCTCTTGTAAGGCTGGGAGGAGAATGGACCCTCCCATTATAAGAATAAATACTGCTTGTATACACATAGTACTTTAATCAGTAAGTCACCAATAACTTTACTTAAATGACCAGTTTGCTGTTGTCTCAGTTTCTTGGGTAAGGAGGCTGGAGCAGAGCGAGTTGCTGACTTTCTGCAGCCTGCAGCAATGCAGTAGTAAAGTGGAGAATAAAGTTTTGTTTTCCAAATGGTTTTTCAGTGCCATACCCACTGCCCTATACATGTGGGAAGCCAGTTACCAAGCACCTGGAATCGTTGGTAGGGATATCTGTAAAGAGAACTGGCCAGTTGTCTGCTGCGTGCTACTAATGAGGCATTCAGGAACCACTAGTGCCTGTATCGACGCTGCGGCTGGATCTCAGTGTCTCTGCATGACGTGCTTGGAGGGGAGATCTGTGAGGAAGACTATGATGGGCGTGGTGTGCATGTGGCCACGTGCATTCACACGTATGAGTGAGATGCACACAGTGCCCGCTGAGAAATGAAGTGATGCTACCAGATACTAACCTGACTGCAGTTGGTCAGTGCCAAGCTGGGATCAATGCTCTCTCCCAGCCTAGGGATAAAAGACTCATTACTCCTGGGCTATTCGCCTCAACCTCCCATAGTGTTCTCTGTTTAGAAGTGTTTGTCCCTAAACTGCTGCTTTTGAAGACTGCAGACTTTTCAGCAGCAGACTGCAGCACCTGATACTTGCTGGAAATCCCGAGGCTGGCGTATGAGGGTACTGCAGTGGCAAATGTACCAGTCTCAAAGCATCACATTTACCAGATTTTCACTGGATGTATCTGATGAAAAACAGAACAGACATGTTGTAAGGACAGTCAGCCCAAGTAAAGGAAGGTAGCTTTGAGGAAAGCGTCCAAGATAATATTCCCACATAAGAAAAGAAGTGGAAAATCCAAAGAATTCAGTACAACCAGAATGAGCTCACTGCAGGTGCTGCTGGTCATGATTTTTAAAAATAAATTTTAATTATTAACTATTTTAATCACTGGCTTGTTTTTTTTGTCCAGTGTCTGCCACTACAGTGCCTTTTTCTGCAGCCCTGGAAAACCCATACTTTTGTAGTTCTCTGGGGCTTCCCCACAGCATGCATTAACCCCCCGGCCACCTTAGAAGACTGATATAATACAGTACAACAGAAAGGACTTCATCTGTCCAACTTGCAAACTAGGTGCTGGGAAGTCATCTACTCCCTGTAGGATTTGGGCCACCCTTTTACCCATTCCACAACAGCCAGTCCTGCAGGGATTTGCACCCACTGGGAGCATCTGTGTTTTGCCTGATGTTCCCTGGATCTGTCTATTAGCCCCGTGGGTTTGGCAGCTTCAGAGGTTGCTATGAAGCTCCCCTGACCCCAGGGTTAGGTGGGCAAATGGGTGCTGGAACCTGAAATCCCTTATACCTATCAGTGAAGAGCAACTGTTAAAAAATCTCCTGCCTTTGGTTTTGGTGGCATTTCTTCCAGTTTGCATGGATCTGCACAATGGCATGCAGTACCCAGAGCCATCTACACAAGAGAGCCTTTGAAATGTAGCCTAGCTGGCAGATCTGGTCAGGCCGGGAAACCTAGCTTTATAAGGTTTTTTGTTTGCTTACAAGTGATCTTGGCCACAGACAGGGGGACACAGCTGTGGTCTGTGCATGGCTCCATGATCAGACTGAGGCAGGGCTCTGAGCCTGCAAAGGCTGCAGTGGGGCTGAGCTCTTCCAGCTTTCTCCTGGTTTAATTTGGAGCTGGAGTTGGGAGAGGCTGCCTTCTCCTGCAGGCTGGTGCCTTGAGGCCTGGTTTGGCTTTGCCTGAGCGGGCAGCAGCATCCATTGCCTGTCTGCGGCCTTGGCTCAGAGCCTGCACATGATGGACACCTCTGCTCGCTCCAGACGTGTTCCTCCTGCAGACCTCCCACTGTTAGCAGTAACTGTTTTAATACAAATATCACACAAATACATTGCTTTTCCTCCAGTAATTATAATAGCATCAGACAAGGTGCACGTCTGGAGGCCTAGCATTTCAGAGAGGGCTTTGCAGGTGGCTTTTGTGAGATCTCCATGTGCCAGTTCATGCTGGCTGTAGGGACCCATGTGAGCAGCTATTGGGATAGCTCAAGCAGAAATGACACAGTGGAGATTTCTGATGATGCTGATGTGCTATGCGGCAGCCTTGAACTTCAGAAGACCCATGCTGGGGATTGGGTAGAGGGAGCAGCCCCCAGCCCAACAGTACTGTGAACCCAGTATTATGGCAGTGCTTTCCTGCAGCAACGTCATGCTAAAGGATGGTGGAGGGGGGAGGCTACCAAGAGCCATGACCCTCCAGGCAGGCTCTGTTTCCCAAATGCGTGTTAAACAGTGGCAGACTCTTGCAGGTGTGGGCATGGGGGGAATCTGTTAAATTAAAACCAAAGCGTAACAAGAGAGATGTTTGCTGTGGAAGATAACGTGTACTTGTTCTGCACACTGAGGGTGAGGAAACTCTTGGACACGTTTTACATTGTGATCACAGTGCACCTTCTGCACTGTGGGGCCATGTAGTTCCCCCTTCTCTCCCTCACCCCTTTTCTTTTAAGACCAGGTATCTCCCTGAGCTTTTGCCAGTGCCTTCAATCTGACAACTGAAAAGCACGATAAAGAAGCAGCATCTTGGTGGCAATTGTTCCTTTTCCTCCCTCAGTACATCTCACTGTGGAGCTCCCTGACCACACTGACCAGTGGCTTGAGCTTGCTGCCCAGATTATTAAGAGGCTTGGGTCTCTGGTACCTGCAGCCTGGTAGACGGCCGGAGAGGAGGGAAAGGCATGCTCCCAGCAAGGTGCCCTTCGGTGGGGCTGCTCTAATGAGCCAGCTTTGTTATCTGCCTTGCTGCTGGTCCCAGAGAGGCTTGCAGGGACGTCTGCTGTTTTACCTTCTTAAAAGGCACCAAATGATGACAGTTAAGAGCCTACCAGGAGGAAATGAGCTCTTAGGGCAGTGTTTCATGTCTTGCTTGCAAGGCTTTATTGGATTAACTTTGTACTAGAACCACCATACACTCCCCTTGCAGGAGAGGCTGAAAAAGCTTAACTGTGGGATAAAAGCTTTACAGCCGTATTTTTGTCAAACAGGTGACTTACATAAAAATATCTTTACATGCATTAATGTAAAGTTTTGGCAAGGCCGCAAAGCAGGCTGCTCCTCAATGATCTTTGCCTTAATGCTCCGCTCAGCCCAGTGTTAGGCATTGTAACTCTCTTGCTTTGCTTCTTATTTTCCACATTATGGACAGTGTATTTCCTCTCCTGCACACCCCTTGCAAATGTAGAGGTTCTGTGAGAGAAACACCTGGTGCTACTGTCACTATTCAAGGAGTGCCTTTTTCCTCTGTGGGTACCTGCTGCTTGGCAGCTCCAGCTGGGCAGCACTGCCAGCCTGGGTGAGGAAGACTTTCATACTTTCAGCTACTTCCCCATTATTTACACATGAAGTTAATAACTGACTCAAGAGTTGATCTACAAGTATATTTTCAGGGCCATTCTTGGTAAATTTTTACCCTCTCAGCCACAAAGCTCTTGTTTTTTGTAATTTCCTTCCTGTATTTTCCCTTAACCCTAATACATTAATGTGTTAGTTTTGAAACAGCCGGTGTATTCTCTCCCTCTTCTTCTCCCTTGCCTTCTGATTCTTTTTTTCACTGTCCTCTATCTCTACTTCTGTTGTTTGCAGAAAACGGCTTTTCTCCTCCCTCTCCCTCTTCACAGCTCCCACCATCTGTCTCTCTACAAATACAAAGCTTTAGGGGAAATGATTCACTAGGCTGCTAGCTCATTACTCACACTCTGCCCATCATGGTTTCTGTCCTTGTAGGATGCTCTTAACTAATGTAAAGATCGATGAATCCTGGGAATTGTTATTCAATTAAAACAAATAATACCCCAGCAGTTAAATAGATTGGGCTTTTTGTACTTCTTAAACACCAATGCTTAGTTTTTCTTCCTCACTCTGCTAGCATTGTTTTTTCAGAAAAGGATCACTGAAACAGAAGAATACAAATGATCACTGGACCATTTAATGCAACCTTGTGTATCACATGATGCAGGAGTTACTTAATGAAATTCCCTGGCCCAAACCAAGCAAATCTGTGATAAATCTAGAGCACATATTTTAGGATGACAGCCAAAATGATGAAAGGAATTTACTACCCAGCCTGGCTAATCATTTTGAATGCTTAACTGCACTCCCAAATATGCTGTTTTGCAAGGAGGAAACCTGACACAGCCGCATTCCCTATAGATTTTCCTCCTACAGCCTCTCCCAGGCTGTGCACCCCAAAAGCCCCCTGACCCCCTGCCAGCACTGTCCAGGGGCAGGGTGGCCAGCTGTGACTCTGTGAGCTGTAGCTGGCCAGCTGCCCACCTCTGGGAAGAGACCTCCACAGGCCTCAACCACCACTGCCTCTTCCACAGCATGAGGGCTTGGGGCTAGGTCTTTGCTCAGGTAATTATTTCCATGAAGCTCATTCATAGGCATTTAATGTCTTTGAGCTTCTCCCTATTAAATGTGATAGAGATTGGCTGAGGGACTCAGAAGCCATTTGAGGTAGACTAGTTCACAGTCTTAAAACACTTCAAACACCAGAGAAAGCCGTATTGAGTTGGCAGGTATGACACAGCATCTCAGGAGTCTTGCTTAACCTGGAGGCTGAGCTCAACACTGTAGGGCATTTCAAGTGACCCTAAATGTTGATGTTTAGGTACCCACGTCCCATTCCTTTTGTCTTCACTTTGTTGACCTTTTAAGAAGGATTTCTGTCACGATTTCAGGCTTGTAAACCACAGACTAGAAAGTTATTTTCTTAATTGGAAGTTTAGGTTTTCATTTATCACATAGAAAATGGACCTCTTCACCCCACATGCAAGTAAGTAACAAGAAGTATCACTACCCAACCCAACTTTATTGTGCCTTGTCAGGAAGCTGCTGGCAATGTCAGGTATGAACCTATTTCAGTTGTTGAGCTTCCCTTTAGAAACTGGAGTTGTAAGAAATATCTGCAAATATCACAATCAAAATTGTAAGAATTGACAACACTGGACACACCCTGTCCCAGTTCCCTTAAATGGCTGCAACTCTTTATGCAGAACCCTGCTAAAGGAAAATGTGAGTATATCTGCAATGTGGTTCTTCAGGTTTTTTTTTCATGAGCACCACAAAGCACGCCCTGTATCAACACACCACACTGCCACCACCTTCATGGAAAGCTAATTAAATGTTTCAGGTAATGTAGCAGGAGTATTAATTTCTTGGCTGATTTACTTTTTGGACTACCAAGCACATGTACTTTTTTATAAAGCTGTGTTTGGGTCATTCTATAACAAAAATAAAGCTGAGGAGGATCTTTGGAACGAGCCTGCATTGAGCAGGCGTGAAGTGCTCTGTGTCAGAGCAGGACAACTACTCTAAAGAATAAGGGCTGCAGAATTTTCAGCCAACAGGGTCCACTGTTACCTCAGTGTGGTTAAGGCAGTTTTTTAAAGAAGAGCCCTCACCAAAGTCATACTTATGTGCTCTGTAAAATAAAAAGTTCAAATTTTAGCAGATGTGGTGTTGTTGAGCCTTCCACGGTTGCCAATACCCCGTGGCCCTCCAACATCTTTGAGTATTTTATTGTTCCACACTCCATACAAGTTGTAAGTGTCAATGTTACTTCTCTCAACAATTGCTGGCTTTCCAAATGCCAGTTGTCCTTTGACATGCTCTGTTTTAAATAAGGGCTGAAGAGCAGTAATGAAGCTAGAGGCCTGCTGTAAAAAATACTGCAGCGTTCCATGGTACTGACAGCACACATGTAGTCATGCGTTTTGCTCTCCATTTGTGGCCTATTGCTGCAACACACTGAAGGTGTTCGGGGCCAAGCTGTGAGGAAATGGAGCTCCAGAGATTTCAGATCTGAGAGTCCTCTAATTGAAGACAGTATCTTTATGCAAGACAGGCTAAGGCAAACTTGTGTTACCCAACAGTTACCATTCCTCTGTTGTTCCCAGCAATAATAAAAACTGACACGATATATAGGGTTCCCTTACAAAAGGCAAATATATTTAATAGTGTATATACAAATTAACTATTCAATAACGCTATACAAGGCAGGAATATCTTTAAAGAAACCCTGAGCAAAGAGAAGGATGTAATTTTTATTTTACACTTATTGCAACATTATTTCTGGTATTTGTTTGCTATATCGACTAATAAAGGAATATGTTAAAAACAGATGTTAAAATAAAACTGGGCATTCTTTCCATGTGCAGCTCTTAAAACTCTAGAGAAGAGAGTTCTGCCCCATCAGCTTCAGAAATAGATGTTTATCATGGTAGAGAACAAGCCGAGCCTGAGTTACCCAAAACAACCAATCCCTTTAGCAGAAAGAGTGTCTTCTGTCATCAAAAAGAGCCATCTGGAAGAGCACTGGCTCCCTGCCAAGAACAACCCTTTAACAACTGCTTGTCGTGCACTTTAAGCAATAATGTTCATAACGGTACAACCTGGAGCGTTGGTAAAGGTCCTATCGGAGGAGCAATGTATTCCTCCTCCCTCAGTAACCGCAAAAGGATGTTTTTCTTATTCTTCGGCCAGTTATAAATGTGAGTGTTCTGCAGCCAGGTAGGCACGTGTTCCTGAAAAACGAGCGAAAAAATAAAGGCATGAAATCCCATAAATCCTCCTGAATCTGTACCAGAACCTTGCAGATTCCATCAGACCCTGCCAAGCAAGATTTCATTTTGTCTGTTCCAGGCACTTCCCGTAACAACAAGAAATTCTAATTTGGCCTCAGAGTTGTATTTAGGTTCCTAAATGAATGAACTTTGTGTGATCTCACAGCTTGCTTGTCTCTCTTTCTTTTCTGCCATCACGTTGGCTAATTTCACTACATTTCAAAGGGAGTCTGATCTCAATGACAAGCATCTAAAGGCTTGTGAAAATAAACATTGAGAAAAGAAGGCAGACATCTCAGTGCCCCTACCAAGGAAAGGCTGCCACCTTAGTAGCTGCTGAAAGATCCACACAACATGTTCAACCTTGAGCAGGACCCCAGGGGAGCATTTCTTATCCTGGCAGTCTTCACCCCCTCTCCTCGCACTTTGCTTCACCAAGTGTGGTGTGCTCTGGCCACCTCCTGAGCAGGAGGTTGAGGCTGATGCTGAGCTTGAGGAGAGTCTAATGCATCTCCAGCTGAGCAGAATCAAACCCCCACCACTTTGCATCCTGGGAAAGATGCCTCCTTTCAGGGGCTGGCTAATGCTCATTAACATAATGAAGCTGGGACCACCATGGCCCTGGACAGTGATAGTGGGCTGTTGGATAGGACCCTGCTCTGACCTTATGTTCTCGTGCCTCCTCCACAGCCCTGGGTGGCTTGCATACAGACAGTCTGAATGTGTAGGGGTGAAGGGCCATTATCATACCACTAATTAAAATAGGGTCAAAGACTGATCCTTGACCAAAAACAGCTCATGACCACTATGGAGATTTCTTTTTGGAGAACTGTGTTGGAGACACCAGAACAGAAGCCAAAGGGAGACAGGATATAAGCAAAATGAGCAGCCAAGACATCCAGCACTTGCTCCCTGGTCCTCTTTATTCAGCAGGGCAGTATTTTCCCAAGGTGGCCCCTGTTAGGAGCAGCACAGTCCCTGTCAAGCCAGTGGAGCTAGCTCCAAGAGGACCAAGCAAAAAGCTGCTGGCATGCACCGTGTCTGTGGCACCTTGCCAGGCGATGCCCTGGCATGGGCAGCACATGTCCAGCCTGCCAGCAAACAACCTAACTGCAGACCAAATACTTCATTACCGAGCTTCATGCTTCTCAAATTGGCTGTCTTTTCCTTGGCCTGTACAGCTGTAGGAAGGAGGCTGCGTCATTTCCACTGCCCAGGGAGTGGTTACTGTTCATTGATGCAACTACTTTGTTAGATCTATAAGATTTATATAAAGAAGAAGGAGGTAAGTCACGCAGGCACCTACATAACTCTGACCCCACCTAGGCTTCTGAACCAGCAGCTTGGTGCGAGGCAGAGGTATCTATCAAGCCTGGCCCTTCTCTCTTTCTCCAGTGGCTGAGAAAGTATAAGCTTTGGTCAAGGGTCTCCCCAAAGTAGAGGTTTAAAATATCGCTCCTTCACGTGGACACCTCACTGCCCAACAAGGGTAAGATCCTGCGGCATTCCCTTTGGTAGGAGCCCAAGTAAGACCTCTTGCCTCCACCTGCAACTCTGGCTTTGCATAGGAATGGATTTTAATCTTTGTGATCTTTACTCCTTTGACAAAACTGTTTGAAGTTGGCCAAGAGATTCAAAAGTTTCTGGAAGAAAGAAAGATAACCACATTTGCATGCATGTGCACACTCTCACCACGTAAAATTTGTTTCTTTACTAAATCTTGTTAAAAGCTACAGAAGGAAATGCAATTAAATACAGCAAATGAGCCTTCTCTCTGTCTTTGATAAGAAACTACATTTTTTGTGAGGAAGGAAATGCAGTAGACATAGTTGGTCTGGACTTCAGTAAAGCATTTGATATAGATCCACACGGGAAATCATTAGTTCAGCTTGAAAAGATGGAAATTAGTGTGAGAAATGTATAGCAGGTAAGAAACCAGCAAGTGAGGATATAATGAGAGAAGCACTATACATCCAGAGAAGGCTCTATGTCTTTCTTCCAGAACACCTCCTGCGGTCAATTTCATTTAATATCTTCCATAATGAACTCAGTGCAAAAAGCACCTGCACGTTAATCATCTCTGGCAACAATTTTAACTTGAGGGAGGTGTGTAGGGGTAAAGGGGTAACTATAGCTGCTATTTTAATCCACAAGGAGAGCAAAGTGTCGTTGCCACATGACACTGGCTGTCATTGCAGGTGGGAGCAAGGGGAAAATGCTTACCACCCTAATATTACTTTTATTTGGCTGTGTATCTGTAAGCCATAAGGAAATTCCCTCTATGCCACAGAGAGAGTATTTGATGACACTGAGGATCAAACTGGTAGGAAGAAGGCAGAGCATTTTAGTGCAGAGGGCAGGGCTGTGCATGCAGGGACATGTTGGCGCAGCATGTTTTGAGCTCCCCTGGCTTCCCTGGCACCAACCCTGCTCACCTCATCCATCCAGCTGCCTCACCTCTGACAAAGGGAGCCTCCACTGTGAGGAAGTCACAACTTAATGCTTTGGTCATCAGGTGACCAGATCAGGAGGACACATTTCTGAGGACTGGTTCGATGCAAGCCTTGAACCAGCAAGACCCAGGTTTCCTTTAGTAGTGTATGATGGGAAGCTGGAAACGCCAGCTCCACCTTAACTGTGTGTTGTGCTTTTCCCCCTCATTATTCAGTTTCCTAATGAACACTCTTTGGATCACACAGTTCCCTTCTTGTTGAAGGTTGACTAATTTTCACATACCAGCAGTGCTTTATGATGTGCTTCATATGAGATTAAGTCATCTAATAGCCATATCCCGAGATGAAACCTTCCAGACCTTGCTTTCCTGCTCTTTTCCACTACTAGCTACAGCAGTACTTGAACATGTAATGGACAATGTAAAAAAGACAAAATGAAAGTAGTTTGTCTGCCAACATCATCCAATTGTATCTATATGTGGCATTTTTCAGGTGCCTCACTTTCCTTTGACTGCCCACAGGCTTCATTACTGCAACTTGCTCAGAGTCTGGTGCTCTCCTTCTACCCACCATGTCCTCAGTTATATTATCATTACCTAGTTAGGTGAAGTTAGATGATGTACCAAAGAAATGTGTGGGGAAAGAGAGCAAAGCTCAATGGCAATAGAAAATGACAATCTGCATAATTTAGATAAGAAAGTCACCTCTTGAAAAACTGAAGGGTGATGTGGACTTACAAAGGATGGGCAAGAAGGCTGCCTGGAGACTGATAGGAGCACCTCAATAAACCAACCCTGGAAATCTCTTATAGATCACCACCCCTGTATGCTAAATAGTCTTGTGATATATGAAGTTCAGCCAAAATTAACGCAGGTTTGTTGTTCAAACCCCAGGGGCAGCTATAGACCCTCCTGGGCCACCTCTCTCTGCAACCCTTATGGTGCCAAATGGCTACAAGGTATATGGGCTGATTGTATGGCAGGTGCTCGAGGGCCCCCAAGGTTAGCAGCAGTCCAATCTTTCTCCCCCTGGATCAAGCTGCAAAGGATGACTGAAAATGCTGCCTGATTCCCTGCCTTTGGCCTGCCCAGTTCCCACCAGGGCAGCCTCTCAGCTTTTCACACTTAAGGCAAGTACCGGATTGAGATCATGCAGGTAGGGAGCTGAATGACATGAAATAGCAGAGGTACCATTCATTCCAAGGGACCTCACTTTTTTTTACAGACCTAGGGACATGTTTTGAAATTTCTGAGCGCATATTAAGCTGCACCTAAATAAAGAACTTTTTTCCACTAAAATCCACCAAGTGCAGTGGGATGGCACAGCCCTACAATCACTAATAGCAGTTTTTAAATTTTGGCTCATGTTCCAAAGTTTGGGCACCCAAAGAAATGTAAGGAACTTCCCATACTTTTTCAAAATGCACCTGTACCTAGGGGTAACATGACAGCTACCAATAGTGCACACAGCATTTAGCAATGAAAAGTGTACATGAGTACAATATAGCCATTCTGTGTCTGGGGAAGAATGCAATTTCTCAACTATAACTGAAGCTGTTTAACTTGAAAACAATCCAAGAGATTCTCTCAGAGTGAGGCAGAAGAGACAGGAATCTGTTGCATTACTTATTCTCAAATGAATCTTCAAAACCAGTAAGGAGAGCAGATGAAATTGCAAGTCCTAAAAAAACTTATAGTTTGCCTTTGAAGGGCCCATCAAAGTTCAAGCAACAGTCTAGTACTTTATTATTTATTATCCTCTTTATTTTTATATTCTCAACCCAGCCTCTCCCAGATCCTCACTTCACATCAGTCATAAATCTCTCCCATCTCACTCATCGGCATTACATCTGGACAAAATTATAAAAGGGTTAATATAAAAAGCATGTTTGCTGGGTAGATTGTCTCTCTGCATGTACATTCTTTCAATGCTAAAGACAATTTCAGTTTCAGTTGTACAGTTATCATCAGAAATACATTTATGCACTGATTTATATTGCAGATGAAATGTTTTTTATTTGTATGTACATAAAACTTTAAACTTTTCATGTAAGTGTAGCTTTGGAATATTACTAGTGGGATATTAAGAACCAAGAAATTGAGGGTTTGGGTTTTAAGATTTC